ATTTACAGATCCAGTGGCACAAGTCAGAGTTCATGACTTGTACCCCTATGTTTGTTTTTCTAAGCCACTCATCCTGTTCCAGGTCATGGAGAATCCCAGAGCTGTGATCATGTTGAAGTGTGGTTTATTTTCTTAACTTAGTTACAGTGGTTGCTTGGTCAGTGATTTACTGTTTGCCTGTGTGGGACACCAGTGAAATTTGTTAATGCATACAGTACGTATTACAACATGTGATGGTGATGCAGGGATGTTTGTCACACGTCTGCAGAGGAGATTGATTATTTCAAGTCCTTGGAGTTATCACTCAGGTTATTGAGGGGAATCCTCCTGCAAAACATTTCTCTTTGAGGAAACATTTGAATTAAAAGTCCATTCTTCAGGATGTAGGGAGCTTACCTATAGTTAGGAAGAGCACCCATACAGGACACAGCATCTAATGACCATCCCAATGAACCATAAGTACAAAACAGGAGACCTGCTGCAGGTGGCTGGCCAGTTAATTGGAAAATCTGGTTCGGCTAGCTTTGAAAACAAAACACAGTCACGGGACATTATGGATCATAAACATGCTGGTGTTTCTATTTGGTAAATATTGAAACAAAAATAAATGTGACCTGCCATGTCCTGCTGCCCGTGATATTCACATCATGGTCAATAGGAGCAGGTTGTTACAAGATAGTAAATCTCTGACGCTGTTGACGATAGCCATTACAGCATGCTATTAAAAATCCATACAGCCACAAGGTCTGCCATTATTGCGTCAAGGCAAACAGTAAATTGGAGTCAGAGGTTGACACGGGCTCTATATCTTAATAAAAGAAGTGGTTTGCTTCTGATCATCCTCTGAATCAGTGTCAGAGTGAGGAAGGTAGAAGCACGGGGTGCTGGCGCCAGAGACAGAGACACACAGACTGAGAGAAAGAAGGGCCCTGGTTCAACTCTCATCTGGTCCTGTGGGGGATCAATGACTACAGCCAGTGTCAGCAGCGTGCTTGCCCTCTGCAGTCATTGCGAGTTTAGTTGACGTTAATCACTGCGATTACTCATTACCACCTGTTATCCCACTGAATTATTGATGGCAGTCCGGGTGAGATCCAGCAGTATAGGTGAAATTCTCGGTCAGATAAAGATGCAAGATAAAGGTTAGCCTGATGGGAAATCTTGATGACAGTCAGTCATCAGTCTTGTCAGTACAAAAGAAGAATGTGAGACAAAACAACAGGCTGTTAATTGACCGCGTAAAAGTTAAATAGGGGCACGAGAGTAGCGCAGCACAAATACGGGAGAGCAAACTTAACATATCTTACGTTAAACAGACCTATAGATCGACCTTAAGAACTGCAAATGTTTAAAAACAGAAAAAAGAAGGCACTCGTAGGTTATCACGTTTTCCTTATGTAACTGTACTGTATGTATGGTCATCGGATGGATGTACAGTAAACTAGTCAGTTCACTGCAATGGCAGATTCATTTTTTTATTTGCAGTCTAGTAAAATATTGTGCACATTTATGTATCAAACACATTTCTGTCATTCTATTAACAAATACTGAGACAAAAAAGGAGGCAATTAATTATTGTTTAGCTTTTTGTTACAATAATAGAGAACTGTCCTGTTATCATTGAAAATGCAGCAACTAGAACTAAGTCCATTTTTTGTCAGTGGTCATTTGTTTTAATGATCAATACTTTTGCATGTTTTTAAACCCGCATTGAAGTCATCATTAGGATTCTTGTCAGTGTGATTGTTTTGCTAAGTTGTTGTCTTTTACCACACTTTGCTGCAGGCAGTTCAACCTTGCCTGTTCTGAACGTAAGATACAGACAATACGGGCACAGATCATAAACTCCACAGGGCCATGCTCCTGTCTTGTTATTTCCAACAAACAGCCCACAGTCTACGTCCATTGATCCATTATCTGTATAACCAAGTCAGTGTTAGGGAAGGCTGGAGACTATCCTAGCACATCAGACATGTGGTGGGGTCTATCACACAGCTAACATTTAACAACCATTCACATTCACAGTTTGAAGTTTCCAATTCACCTGACATGCATGTCTTTGAGCTGTGGGAGGAAACCAGGAGAAATGAATTTCTGCTGGAAGGCCGGAGCCAGCTGGTGGATTTGAACCTTCTTGCTGCGAGGCCTGGTCGCTTCTATAATCCCCTAATTTCTCCCATATTGACAATTATGATTATTTGAGAGACAAAAGGTCCCTGAGAACCCTCAGACTTCAGGACAACATATCTCTTTTCGTCACTTTGTACATCATTAGTTGTTGAATGATGAGCCCAGTGCAGAGTAATTGTTGTGAAACTGAGACAGGTTTGAACAGATTTGACATAATGAACATCATGTTCAAGATGGTAAGATATGGGCAGTTCTTAGAATCACCAGTTATCCACCAAATGATCTCAGAAACTGGAGAGAATTTTGTGTTATGGCACCCTGCAGAATTTAAACCCGTTCAGATGCTCTCGTTCTGTCTTTTTATACGGCGTTTGTATATTCAAGAGTGTTTAAAGCGTTACAGGCAAAAACTTTTGTATCCACCGCAGCCATTTTGCCCAACAAACTCTCACTGCCCTGCTGTAATTATCCAAACATTAGTGAAAAATGAGACACTCTTCAGACATTACCTGCAATGAGGTGCTGCTCCAATACACAGTTTGTACAGTCACACTGAAAGAGGGAGAGATATACACTCATTTTCCAGACTAATGTCAAAGCCCACTCCGGAGCGAGTGAGTAGTTTGGGCCCTGCTTAATAAACAAGGTGTACCAAGGAGTACAAGGAGTACCACCCATTTTCTTTGGCTGCATGAAGTCCACTGTATAATAACGAAGACATGAGAAGCCCGTCAATCAGCCTGAAAATGTTTTTTTTTTTTTTTCTTTTTTTTTGGTACTAGAGACATAAACAGTCCTTATTTGGTCTCACAGAACTGCTTTGGACTGGCCTGCATCCTCAGTGGTCATGCTGCAGTAACCAAATGTTTCCACCAACTTGTCATGTACGTTTGGGTGAACAGTACTCTTAGCCACAGTGTTTCAAGGCAGGTCATTGTATTTTGCTTTGCACCACACCACCCACATTAAGTGGCCTCATTATAGATAGTCAGTTATTGTATTTTAAGGGTCAGTGGGAAAGTTCTCTGAATAATCCTTGCAAAATGCTGTTTTTCATGCTGCTGCGGTGTATCTGGTGAGGCCACAGGTCATTTGACCTGTAACCAGGACATTCTCCGTTACAATTAACATGTGGAGACTCTGTGAGAACAGATGAAGCAAACACACCCACAGTCCCACTAGTACACACACATCCTTGTTCTTTTCAAATTTGTGGGGATATTACACTGACTTCTATTCATACCTTAATCACTAACCTTAACCTGAACCCTCATCACTTAATCTTAATACTTATACTAACCCAGTCCCTTATGTACTACATTCCTCTTATTATATATATATACACACACACACACACACACACACACACACACACACACACACACACACACATAAGTATGCATGTATTTACACAAAAGCTATATATAGTGTATATTCAGTGTGTATTCTTGGTAAACAGTAGTGTCGACGAGACAGGACGGGGCGTAGTTGGGCGGGCGGGTCAATACATGCTGGGCAACTGGGAAGTAGGAAGATGGTAGCAGATAATCTTAGGTGTGTGAGTGAAGGGTTGGAACTGAAGACAAATGTATTTTTTCTATCTTTAAACTGTACTTCAGTAAAATATGTTTGATATGTGTTTTCATGTAATATATTATACATTTTTTCTAACTGAACTCCACAAACTACAAATTGAGCAGTACAAGCTTCACGGAGGCAGAACGCACACACAGTAACTTGATAAACATTTTTGTTTGTTTATTTGCTTTATTCTTTTTAGAAAAGGGCATTCTTAGCATTTTGGCCATTCACAACTTTTCATGGGCTTTAAATTACTTACAGTTCAGTTAAAGACAGTTTATGGGGCGATGATTGTTAAGTGCCGCATACTGAAATTAACAGCAACATTTCACCACATTTAGCTCCAAATAATGTAAAAAAAGTGGTGTGAATTTTTGAAGTTGCTTTTTACCAGATTTACAGCAATATTTGTGAACTTTGTCATATTTACTTTTCTTAAAAAAATATTTAATATAATTTTAAGATTAAATCTAAATAAAGTTAAAAGCATTGAACAAGTGTGTCCCAGCCAGTTTCATCACTTTTTAGTGTCCCCTGGAAACACTTCCATTGTGTTGTCAGTATTTGCGGTGCACTTGTTGTCAAATTGATGTAGGGTTAGGGTTGTTTTCTGAATTTGTTTTTTTGTCTATTTGCATGTGTTTTCTTAAGGTGCAGTGCTTTGAGCTCTCAGGGCCACCATAAAAAAAGAGACAACTGAGGCAATAGAGGCAGACAGAGCGGACTGATACGATGTGGGTTTGAGGTGAGCAACAACACACACACAGTCTCACTCCCCACTCCCCAAAAAAAAAGTCTGAGTGAGGATTTAGCCCTCGATCACATCACATTTTTCATAAATTGCGTGGTGACAGTGCAGTAGGGAACAAAGCTGTGCAAAGATTTTTACAAGTTCAGCTAAACAGTGTGGGCATACTGCTGCCAACTCGCTATTATACCAGCGTGAACGTGTCAAATTCTATCTCATCTGGAGTACACTACCAGCCTTGTCTTTCTGCACACACACAATATGATCAGTTATGTTCACATAAGAAGAAAATCTTTTTGATATTGAGATAACAATTAGAAATAACAAACGAATAGAAGTGATCTTGGCATCCATACAGCACCATGCCATGTTGTTTGTTGAAAATACAGCTTCTAGATTGAAAAGATTTGTCAGAGGCTTTTTTTTTTTTTTTTTTACCCCAAGTGGAAAAACTGTTATGTTATAACTGTTAATATATTCAGTCAGATGTATCAGACTGTCAGGTGCAGAAAGCTGCACCTCGATTGATAGAGATCTGGGTTTACTTGCCAGTATGATGACATGTACAGTATTAAAGGAATAAAGTAGTTTGGTTACATGTAATAAAGGAATGGTCATGTTTAGCAACAGTCCTGTCTCCAGGGCTTTGTTTTTCCAATCAAAATCAATTGGTGGATGCAGAAATAAGTTATTTTGCAGGGATCTGAGGGAAGGTCTGAAGAAATAACCTGAAAAAAAAAGAAAAAAAAAAAGAAAAGTGAAACATAAGATTCAACTCTCCTGCCCACCTTGTGCAATCTTTGTACAGCACCAAACAGTTGTGGTTTGGGGTAGTAATGATTGAAGCTTTGATTGCCAGAAGCTGTTGGAGATGGACACATCTGTTTATTATTTTAGTATAAGGGCAGGACAGGGATTTGGAAGTGAGAGATAGGAGATGACATCTGCATTCATAAAATACTCAGCTGCCATTTGTTTTGCTGTCTCTGTCAGCCTCCTTTAATGTCATATCCTTGTAGAGCTTGATGTGCTGGAGCCTGTGACTTGCTAATGCTCAGAAACACCGAGCAATCTGGTACTCAAATGACGGTACAGTCTCAAATAATGCCTGGGATGCATCCTTAACCTCCAAATTACTAATCCCCGTTCTTTGTATGAAATTTGTTTGTTTGTTTTGAATGTGTTTTGTTAGTAGTTCCTGGCATCTCTTCAGAAAATCTCCCAAACACACAAATGTAAATCACTGCGTAGCAATATCACATATGCAAAGTAATAAAGCATATTGTATAAACATGTTTTAAGAGCATAAATCCATTTTTAGTTTGGGTTTGGAGCCTCTCTCATTCTTCCCTTCTATCTCCGTTATTGAATGCATCTGTTTGTTCAAAATGTCACTGATTTCTCAGCCTCAGTTTAACTTTTATACTGTGTCCAAGCTGTTGAGCATATTCTCAGGCTGGATTGTAAGTCCCCAGAGGAGTGGCAGGGACTGCACTGGTTTTTATTTCACAACATTTATTGGCTGATTAGCAGAACTATGGGACTGTGACTTCACCAGCATTTACATGTGGTGGTCATCAAGTGGATGTCAGCATTCAATCAGCATGTCTCAAACAGTACAGGGATACACAGGCGACAGAATAATTACACAAAAGGTAGAAATCTGTGCTGCCAGGAAGCTTTGCATTATTAAGCCTATAACATCCGCACGCTCTAGCATACAGGATACTGTAGGTTCAAGAATTTGTCGAGGAATTCCTTCCTAATGATCACTGCCATTTTGTTTTGCTTTTTACATAGAGTCCTAGTTTTGTTTGTGTTCACTTTATTAATTGCAGGCCCCTAACATATCCTTATAAGGTATTTTCTTTTCAACTCTAATAGCTAGCTCTTACCCTCTGCCTATCACTGCCCCATCAAACAACACAAGCTTACTACAAAAGCATGTTATTATCAGAAATGCTGAGAACCTATTGACATGGTCCCAGGGTCAGGTCCAAAGGTATTTGTGGAGTAGTCAGAAGTATTTTAGAGCCAACATAATGCTGTGTTTGTTCCTCTTCATTGTAAAACTTTTGTTTTCCTTCAAAAAAAAAATTGGGTATTTGGTCAATTCTCAAGTTTCTCTGAATGTCCTATTTTTGCCATTATGGCATTATTCTTTTCAAATGATATTTTTTGGCCATTTCATTTCAAATTTCATTTATTGATAGGACTGTATAGACACAGGAAAGGCAGGGGAGAGAGAGGGGATGACATGCAGCAATGGGCCCAGGCTGCTGCAGTGGTAAGGACTCAGCACTTAACCAGGTGAACTACAGGTACATTCGTTCAACCAGGACACTGATTAGCACTGATTAGTCAACATTGCTGTGTGGCTTACAGCTAACAAGTTGCCACTCATTATAGGAGCTATTTTTATTTTTGCTTTTTTTTATAGCCAGTGTTAGCATGAAGAGCTGTTTACTTACCAGTTTAGAAGAAACGCTGCGAGTTCAATTACAGCTGTATCTGGTCGTTTTCTGTTGTCAGTTGCAGCAGGCGAGATTGTTGAGGTGGAAAAACACCTGTAAATCTTGAACTCTTGAGACAGGGAAAAGGTGTTGAACAAGCTATATCAATGTGTTTTTTCTAATACAATTATATGGTTCACAGGACTACTTGTATGCAGACCACACAGAGAATTATCACCCAACTCTGCAGTTCTCCTCAGCTCTATGAGTCATTTTAGCTTCGCTTTGAATTGAGTGGACCATTTAGCAGCTAAAGAGCCAGATGAATACTGGACTTACATTCATCAGGTGGCCAGAAACACAACTGATGTGCAGCACCTTGAGTATTTGCTGATGCAGCAAAAAGAATCACGCTTACAAATACAGTTAGGTTTAATTCAATCAGAGCTATGCAGCTTTGCGTCTCAGAGGTCAACATGCACATCTGGCTGTCTGTGCACATTCAGAAGTGGAACGAAAATGTTTACTCACCTTTTTGTAATTTCCCATTTAAGTGAAGAAGAGGTGAAGCAAATATTCACTGGTTCTTAGTGTGACTGCATCTTTAAGACTTTGTTAGTGGGCTCAGCCCCTGGCGCCATGTAAAGCATATTGTAATAAGGCTTAACATGCTGATTGAAGATAAAGCTGAGAAAAGGAAATGTAGAGGAAAGGGAACTGGGTTGTGTAATCTACTACTGAATGATCCCTCATTGAGAAGAACAACATGCTGTAGTATTATGACTTTTATTTGTTTTCACTTTTGTTTTGGATTATGCTTCATAAAATAAAATCATTGTCTGTGTTATTACTTTAGGAAACCTTCATGACAGCATCTCTAATTGCTGTGTTGGTTATCCCAAGGGGCTTCAGAGATAAAGGGACAAGAGGCCAGTTGGGGGAAGGCGGCATCTGCCTTCCTTTGTTCTTAAAATTCCTGTGCTGCACGCAAGTCCCATGACATGCTCACCTCCTCCGATGCCAGTCAGACTAAGATTAGAAAGACACACCTCAACGCCACTTTTTTAAGATACATGGCCTGTTTACCGGTATGTTTGGAGGAATCTTGACTGGCCACTTTATGCTTGAATTGCACTGGGGAGACAGAGTGACAGAATGAGCAAGAGGATAGATATTAATGCCAGAATGTGTGGGTGTATGGAGGATAAGCTTGAAGGAGAAGATAGGTAGGACAGGTTTTAGGCTTCAGATCGAGACAGCTGAGGGACATGAATGGCATGAAAACATGAGAGTGCGCCCTGCGATACCATCTCTTCAGCCGGTTTCCTTTTGCTTTGGAACATTGCTCGCATTGCTAATGGTATATGTAGGCTGTCGACGAGCTTAGACCTGTTCCCCCGACTTTTAAAATAGAACAGCCGGTCCCTGTGTTTGGCTCTTCCTTTGCAGCAAGGCCCGTCAAGTACCAGCCCAAAAATGCAAACAGGACATCTCATTGCTCAGGGGAAACCATTCCTCATTATGAAGGGAAAAAAAAACAACACGGATGTAGAAACATGCCTTGTTATACCAAAGTCATTACAGAAACTGCCTTGCTACTGAGCCAGAATAATTGGCAGTAAATGCTACCTTTTTTAGAGAAATTGGCATAGAATTCTCAACCTTTGCTTTCTGCACTACACAGACCAGCACTTGCATTATTAGACACCTCAATAAAACCATAAACCATCAAGTGTCTGGTGGATTTTCTATTTTATCTATGTGGATATCCACCTGCCTATTCTTTCATAATCTCCTGCATAGATTCACAAGTGTTTGTGCAGCTCATTTCATCCAGTTAGTGAAGCCGGTTTGATGCAAGCGGTGTCAACAAGGTCAGCCAAAGGGTAGAGAAGTGGGAAATAGAAGCAAGATTATACAGTGTTGATTACAGTTTACGACAGTGGGACAGATTTCTAATGAAATTACATGTCACTGAGACTTTGATTGCTCCTGTTATTAGTATCTTATCAGCAACAGGCTGATGACAATGTGATCGTGGGGGCAGGGCTACCTCAGTGCCCCCACCGTGTGTTTCTATGTGGCTGTTCAGAAAATATTAATGTGTGGTGCTGGGTGATGCAGAGATAGAAATCTGATCACTCAAAACCTTGTACTAAGCAGCAGTCTGTGGTCTTTTTGGAAATGATCAACCCGGAGCAATTTGATAAACTAGAGGCAAGCATGGAGAGAATTAAGGTGTAGAACAAAGCTCCCTTTGGGTCTTGCAATATGCGTCTGTCACCCTACCGAGAAGACTTTTTAACCTGTGGCCCTTTTTATTGCTTTTACCACCGGTGTCGCTGATTTCTGTCGATTTTTCTTGTCTTACCCATTAGAGATGTTTTGTGCAAGGGTCTGAAGCAGTACTAATGGTGGGAGGTGGCAAAAGGTGCATGGCATGTATTTGAAAAAGCACACACAGACACAGAACTGTCATGAGATAGTGTTGGAGTAATGATATTATATATTTGAATATTTAAGCCATAGTTAATATTTTTCATACACATATATTATTTGCCTTCTTTTGTGCAAACAGATAAGGTGAAGCATAGAAATATTCATGTCATTCTGTAAGGTAAAGAGTAAATGAGAAACAAAAAAGAAAACAAAACCTTTGGGTTTATTGACAGTTGATATGACATCGGTTGCCAAATTACAGTTATTTATACAGAATTATAGTAGCTCCTTATACAGTGTTGTCTGTTATTCCTTCCTCATTTCCTTCAGTAATGTTGGTGGCTCTCGTTCCCCTGGAGAAGGCTATGTAGAGCTGGCTGTTAGCAAACACTGCCTGTGGGAGGTAGATGCCAACTTGCTCATTTTCTTGTACTTAAGAATTATTACCTGACTTCTCTGGAGCACTGTGCGCAAAGTTTGGCATCTTCACATCTTGCCAACTGTGCTGTTATTGTTGTTGTATTTGATGCTTCTTTTTAGGCTTATTCCATTAGAAACAGTAGCAAAGTAGACTTACACTAAAGTAGGGACGGCATGATACTAGAAATTTGGTAGTCGGTACCAATGCCAATGAAATTCCACGATATTCGATACGATATTCAATACCACAGCAAAAGTCTGAAAACAATAGAGGCTGCTGGACACAAACTGTACTAACACACGCACATGCACACGCCTCCGTATAGTCAGGGTGCAGTAGTTTAAATTGACTAACAAGGTGACAGACCCATGGTCGGTGAAAATATTCATTTAAAAAGTCAGCATTATATTTTGAAAGACTGAACGGTAATGACAGCAGCCTACTAATGTTAACTAACGTCTAAACAAGCTAACGTTAGCCTTTGTGAACATTACAACAGATGTCAGCTGTCACAATTCAAAAAACAATAACAGTAACAATTCAGGACGTGAACATGTTGATAACATGTTAATATAAAATGAACAACTGAAACTCACTCACCCTGAATTCTGTGTACAGATCTGTCTGTCTTTGAGCTGTGTTTTCTCCTGTGGCACCGTTTTCACACTGGCTTCTCGTGGTCTATGATCCACATCAAATACTAAATATCTCAATACACCAGTGGTGCCGTGTTTTTTTTTTTTTTTTTTCCACAAGTCGTGGCGTTCCATGTTTTGTTGTTATTGTTTACAGTGTCTGCCTTCTTATTCTCTCTGAGTTTGTTGTCAGACTAGAACAGTCTTAGGGTTATTAGATTGCTCTTTTCAGCCCCGGAAGAATCACATCACCAGTAGCTACATGATGTACGGCACCGTCGTACCGATTTATCGGAAGTATCGGTTCTCGTGACATCCCTACACTTATGCACCTCTGATTCAACTGAGTTGTTTAGTGAATCCAGAGCGTCTTCACCACATTACTGTACATCTGTGTATATCACACAGTACGTACTCAAGATTAAAAAGAACGGAACGACCAAACCAGAAGTGGGAATGACCGAGCGGGCAAAGTTGGTGTCGTTTGAAAGACCTCACTAAGACATAGGTTCCTTAAAAATGAAGTGCTCCTAGCTGCTTCCTAGACAGAGCAGTGAGCATGGATAGACACCAGTTATAGTAGTGATATAGTATAGTAGTAGCCCAGAGCCCTGGATCTGAATGAAACGTCAGTTACACAGACAAGGACTTGAGTCTTTATTTGGACTTCACTGCTCTGAGACTTGGTGTTTTGACCTGTAAATTATACACAGAGCAGCAGCCGGGTCTTGCATAGTCACATACTTATATACATATTTATACTTATTTATATATCAGGAAAAAAAACACAATTGATGCTATTAATAAAAAATATAATATACCATACTGTGGGTGGGTTTTTAGAGCTTTTTAACTGAAAACAGCTGCATCTAGAAACAACGCTGAGACCATTGAGACTGAATCAAAACAGTTCAGTTCAGAGATGCAAATACAAAACAAGAATTTCAAAGATGCTAAAACACTCTGTGTCTGTGTCGGTTCACTGCACGAAAGCCATTTCACATACACATAGTAATTTAATTCATTGTTAATATAAAAAAAATGATCATAGCAGCTTTAAAAACTTGGCAGCCTGAGTTGTAATATGCTTATGAAGATGTATAACATGTTTGCTATGTTGGTATCTTGGTGGCTTAGTTGACTTAAAAGCAGAGCAACCACAACTTGTCTAAATAGGATGTTGCCGCTTATTGATGCTTGCCTTTATATAGTGCTGTTTGAGTTTCTGACAAACAACTCTCACCTTCTACTTTAATCCTTTATGAATGTGTGTCCCTGTCCTTCACCCTGTCGGCTGCAGAAATCTCCCCTTCCCATTGCTGCTGCAACCTAATGCTGGCAGATTAGACCTGGAGATACTAGAAGAATTATCCTCTTATAAACTTATTTTAATGTCACTAAATAGCCAAATGGGCACTTAATAGCCAAGAGGAAGTTATTTAGTGAGATATGGAAGCAACTGCCTTCTCTCCTTGTGACTCCTTATATGTATCCGATGCCCTATCAGCTCAGTCAACAGTATCATATCGCTCTCTTATTGGACTGAAGTAAGAAATAAATTCTTTATTTTCCATGTTTATGCCTCCAGCAGTTTCCGATTCATGGGATTTGAGCCTTGACCTGTTTTCCTTGATTGACTGTCATTGTTTTTGTTACATGCCGTTTCTCAAGAAACATGAAAAGTGTTTGAACAGCTACCTGGAACTGAAGCGAACTGCTACATTGAACTTGAGGGTTAATTCAGTGCTTTTCCATGGCTACATTCACTTTAGTTTGGAATAATAAATAAATAATATGGTTATAATAACAGATTGATGCAGGTTCATCTAGCACTTCACAGTACCTTCTGGTCAAAGATTAAGCTGAGCAGCAGACCGTGATGCCATGTGCATCCATGCACACAGGTTTTGTCCATTAATTTATGTGCTCTGCATGTGCATGTGTTTGCGCAAATTCTTGCATGTTTCTGTATGTGTCTGATGTGCAAAAGAAAAACAAGTGCACAAACCATTTTCTAATGATGGTTTGCCCCCTGTGTGCCAAGTGAGACATGTCTGTGGGTGCTGCGAAATGAAGGATGCAAGCAGCTAAAGTGAAAACAAATATTTGTTCATAGACCA